AGAATGAGGTGACTTGCAGAAACAAGAGAATCCAAGATCCAGTATTAGAAACAGGTTGTTCCCCACCAGGATTCTTTGCTCATTTTTTAAAGCTTGATACAAGGAAAAGACATGACAGTGTGCATAAGACACCTATTTCTGAATGCAGAAGCAATATGTCTTTAGCAAAGCCCTGTGCTACCTTACAACCAAGTATCCAGAATGGGAGGAATTTACTGTCTCCCGTTCTCACAGTAGGTCTGTGAAAGTGAAATACTGGAATGGGCTCAGATGACCTGCTGATGGTTATCTCATATGGCAACCTGCACTTCAACTGGGCTTTGTAGTCACAAAGTAATGGGCTTCAGGAAGCAGTGAGGGACAGACACACCTTAGTGATGAACAGAACTCAAGGAGCTGCTACGTATTTTATTGTTTGGATTTTCAGCTGTGGGTGCCAAGCTTTGAATTGCAGTCATACACTGTGCCTGGGTTTCAGGATCACACCGGAAGCCATTCCCTTTCCTGTGTGCCAATGACTAACTTCCACATAAATGTGCCAGCACAGGACCCTGGCAGTCACCATATGAGCACAAAGGCAGGGCAATGCAGAGATGATCAGGGCACTGGTGGCTCTGACCCAGGGAAGGTACTGAACTGTCAGCAAGCTCAGTAGCACTCAAGCGCATACAATCATGGCTAGGAAGCTCTGCCAGCCCACACAGGATGAGGAACTCAGTGTGGGAGCTGCCATCTGAGTGTGGGAGGAGGGAAGCAACTGGGGACTAGAGCCAGCAGATGAAGTCTCCCAGGTCACTCTGCAGCATCTCCAAGGCTTTACCTACCCCTGCCTGTCACCAGCTCCATGCCTGGACTCGGTCCCATCTTAAGTCTCTCTGCACTTGGGTACCCAGTCAAGTCAGCTTTGGATCTCTTTCTGTGTGTCTTGAAGATTCCTCAGACAAAATACATTGCTCTTACCTCCCCAGAACATCTCTTCTTTATTTCATCCTCTGCCTACTGAGTCAGAATGCAAACTGTAAACCTGAGCATTCTCCTCCTCCTCTACTCACATCCGAGCAGTCACTAAGTCCAGGCAATCTCAATTCCTGATTACCTTTTCAACAACTGTCCCTTCTTTCCCCCTCCATTCAAGCCTGTGTCATCTTCCCTCCTTCAACAGCTGTGGAAACTAGTTTTTTACTCTAGACCTTTCCAATTTACGTACTTGTGCATTGGACAAGCTAGATACAAAGCATTATGGGTACTGCAACAAACATGACATAGAAAGTGTCCACTTCACGAAGCGCTTGTTTATACACTTAACTGTAGCCTGTGACTTTCTAGAAACGAATCTGGTTATGGCACACACTGACTTCAACTCTCTGGTAGCTCAGGCAGCCACCTGCTGCCATCAGGATGAACTTGGGTCCACAGGCTCACCAGCATCTGGCCAGTCCTCCTCTGCACACCTAAGGTAGTCTTCTGCCACTACCTTAGTTTTCTTGCCATAGTGGCAAACTACCTGACAACAGAAACAACTGAAGGGAGGGAGGTTATTTTGGTTCACAGTTTGAGCCCATCATGGTGGGAAACTCCCAGCATCAGGAGGGTAAGGCAGCTTTGCATCCCAAGAAGGAAGTGGGGAGGGATGAATGCTGGTACTCTCCGTAGAGGAGCCATGGCACACACAGTCAATAAATGCAATAAAAAATGTAAAGAGGCATTCCAGTGACTCTCTCCTGAGTCACTACCTCTCCCCTGACCTTTTCTCAAGACAGGGTTTCCTGTAGCCATAGCTGTCCTGGAACTCACTCTGTAGACCAGGCTAGTCTCAAACTCAGAGGTCTGCCTGCCTCTGCTTCCTGAGTGCTGGGATTAATGTCTTATACCACTACTACCTAGCTAATTTTCCCTCTTTACAAGACCATTTTAAAAAAACAACTTACTAATGTATGTCAATCTTTCACAGAAAGAAAAATAACCTTAAACATCAAGGTCCTCAGTCTTTTCCTTCAGTACAGTCTTCTGGCTTTAAATACCATCTCTCTACACATCTAGCTCAGCGTCCTCCACTCACACACTCAAGAGCACACTCAACACTTCTACTCGGCTAGCCAATAGCCACATCGAAACCCACTATGCTTAGAACCAACTCCTGAAACCATTAACACAATCTGTTCTTCCCAGACTTCTCCATTTAAGGCAATCTAAGCTGGGCTGGAGAGATGGCTCAGTGGTTAAGAGCACTGACTACTCTTCCAAAGGTCCTGAGTTCAATTCCCAGCAACCACATGGTGGCTCACAACCATCTGTAATGTGGTCTGATGCCCTCTTCTGGTGTGTGTGAAGACAGTGACAGAGTAGTCATATAAATAAATAAATAATTTTAAGAGGCAGGTGGATTTCTGAGTTCGAGGCTAGCCTGGTTTACAGAGTGAGTTCCAGGACAGCCAGGGCTACACAGAGAAACCCTGTCTCGAAAAACCAAACCAAAAAAAAAAAAAAAAAACCGACAATCTAAGCTGAGTGTGTTAGTGCCCAACTATAATCCCAGAATTGCAGAGGTGGAGGCAGTGGATGTATGTTCAAGATCAGTTTAGAGCTACATAGGGCGTTCGAGGCCAGCGTGAACTTTGTAAGCAAGATTTTGATGTGGGAAGGGAACAAATGCAAAGCTCATTGTCTGGGCTGGAGAGATGGCTTAGCAGTTAAGAGTGCTTCCAGCTCTTCCAGAAGAGCTGAACTTGGTTCCCAGTGCCCATTACCAGTGGCTCACAAACACCTGTAACTCTTCCTGCCCTCACATGCACATTCTTTTTTTTTTTTTTTTTTTGGTTTTTTGAGACAGGGTTTCTCTGTGTAGCCCTGGCTGTCCTGGAACTCACTCTGTAGACCAGGCTGGCCTCGAACTCAGAAATCCGCCTGCCTCTGCCTCCCAAGTGCTGGGATTAAAGGTGTGTGCCACCACCGCCCAGCGATCACATGCACATTCTTACACACAGACACACAACTTGAAAAAAAAAAAAAAGGACTGAGGATGGACTTCAGTGGCAGAACACTTGGCTAGTATGCACAAGATCCCATGATAAAATAACTAAGTAAACAAATGGACATTAGAAAACAATCCAAACTAAGTCTTCCAAGCTGTTCAAGTAAAGACGACTGAGGTCATCACTGGCTCCTCTAGGCCTATACACCTCATCTATCACCAGGTCCTGCTGGCCAACCTTAAACTCTACCTTTCACCTGAGCCCAGCTTACTCTGTCATTACTGCAGTGGCTTTCTGACTGACACCTTCCACTTCCAATGCACTGGGCAGGTGATGCGTTTGTCTCTCAATACCTCAAACCATTGAATGGCTTCCTGTCTCAGGTTAAAAACCCAGGATGGTGTTGGTTGCTATCCATGGGAGGCCTGCTCTTTTTCTGATGAGAAACGGAAGAGTAGATGGGGGTGGTGGAGGGAGGGACTGGAAGGAGAGGAGGGAGGGAAATTGAGGTTGGGATGTTATGTAAGAGACTAAATTTGAAAATAAAGAACCCACGATGGTCTTGGGGAGCTATACAACCCGGTCCTCCTCCGTCCACCTGAGCACCTTCTTCCACAGCCCTCCTTGGTGATCTACTTCAGCTGAAATGGTTCCTCCTGCTCACTCAACACACCGCTCTACCCCCAGGCTTTCCCACTTGCTCTGCCTGGCATGTTGGTCAGCTACTCCCATGGTTCCCTCTCCCACACTGTTCAGGTTATTGATCGGGCATGCCTTCACCAGCGAGGTGTTTGCTGATGACTCTATTTGGAAGACAGTCAATCATCGTCAACCTCTCACCTTATTCATCAATACCTAGCATACTGGTTATTTACCCTGCTTAATGTCTGTAGTTTTATTATGTATCACTCCCTATTAAATCTCCACAAGTGGAGAATCTTTATTTCATCTGCTCATGGCCAAGAACAGTGCCAGCACAGGAAAGATACTCAAAGGGTGATCTGTTGAATGAATAAAATGAGAAACTATTTGCTGCTACTATGTCCTGAGCACCCCATATCTGATCCCATCATGAATCAGCCTCTGTGCAGAGCTAAGTGCCCTCAGAATTCAGCAACACTGAGTTGAACCATTTTGCTTCCATGCTGCTTTTTTGTTTTCTATTTAAGATACTGGGTTACTTGTAATGAAATATTTCTAAGTTTAAAAAGTGAGATCTTTCCTAATGAGGCAGACAACTTTCTGTGAGTTTGAGCTCAGCTTGGTCTAAATAGGAAGATCCAAGCCAGCTAGGGCTACACAGTGACTGTCTCAAAACAAAAGACATCACTATAATAGTTTATAGAGCAATTAACATGGGGGTACAGCAAAATAATGAAAAGAGGATGTTAAGAACTGATCTAAGCCGGGTGGTAGCACATCCCCTTAATCCCACCACAAGGGAGGTAGAGACAGGCGGATCTCTGAGTTCCAGGCCAGCCTGGTCTACAGAGTGAGTTCCAGGCCAGCCAAGGCTACACAGAGAAACCATGTCTCAGGGAAAAAAAAAATGTTTTTTTAGTCTAAATAAACAATGGTTCATTTTTAAGTGTATGTCCCAAATACTGCATGTGACACACCAAAATTATCTTAAATTCTATGTAAACTGGACATTTATTTTTATTTTTGCTAAATCTGGTGATGCTATTTTAGGAGAACAAACGGCACACTGTCGCGTCTATTTCTAGCGAATGAAACATGCCAGTAAACCAGTATAATTCTGGGGCTATCTAAAGCCTGCGTCAGGCTTTTACGTCCCCGTGGGTGAGTAGGTGGGCGGGTACTGAGGCCCAATGTCTCCCAAATCAAAACTCCATGGTGCACTGTGGGGAAAAGGCCTGACAAGGAGAACCGGCAGGTCTGGCGGTGGCAGCAGAAGGGGATCAGGTGGGCAGAGCGGGACAGGATCTGAGGCCAGCTTCTTTTCCTAGCCTCTCAGTCACCTACTCGGCGGAGGCCAAGGCTGGACAGCCACTTTTTGGCCCTTACCGATGTTGCCTTCAATGCAGAGCCTTCGGGGGCCGCCCCCGTCGTGCATGCTCCTGGCGCTTGGCGCGTCCACGAGCGTGTTCATAAGCAGGGAATGGAAAGACGCTCGGAGTCGACGCAGAAGGAACCGACCTGCAGCCATCCTACCCAAGCTTAGCAAGGCGGGCACTTCCGCCGAGAGCACTTCCGCTTGCGGTAAAGCGACTCCAGTGCGCCTCTGACGTCAGAGGACCTTCAGGCAGGAAATGGTCTGTTCTCGCGACATTTGCCGGGAAGATGTGGGGGTGGCTTGGTGTGTGGTGTAGGAGGGTGGCTGAGGTAGAGTTCAGTCGTTCATAATCCTTTCGTTGTTTTAATTAATATGTATGTAAGTATGTATACACACATATATGTATAGCCCTTTTATTGTTTTAATATATGTATATATAATTGCATGTATATATGTATGTGTGTATGTATATGTATGTATGTATATATATTTGTAGGTCAGAGGACAATTTGCAGGAATGGTTCCTGTTTTCACCATATGGGTTCCTGGGATCAAACGCAGGTTTTCAGGCTTGGTTGCGAATGCCCTTAGAAACTATGGCTTTGGGTATGCTAACCTTTTTTTTTTTGTTTTTTTTGTTTTTTTGAGAGGGTTTCTTGCCTCTCAAGTGCTGGGATTAAACGCGTGCGCCACCACCGCCCGGCTTAACCTTTTCAATTTTAGAGACAAATAAAAATAAATGGAGGATTGGAGATATCGCTTAATTGTAAAATGATTGTCTAGCACACACAAGGCCCTGGGTTGGATCTCCACACCATAAAAATTGTAATTAAAAATCTTAAACTGCTGGGTGGTGGTGGCACATGCTTCTAATCCCAGTACTTGGGAAGGAGAGGCAGGCAGATATCTGTGATTTTGAGGCCAGTCTGGTGTACAGAGTGAGTTCCAGGACAGCCGGGGATACACAAAGAAACCCTGTCTCGAAAAACAGAACAACAACAAAAATCTTGTTATACTTGTTTATTTTGATACTTTGAGACAAGGTCCCATGTAGTGCAACTTGGTCCTTCTGCCTCCCCGTCCCAAGTGGTGAGCCTACATGTGTGCTCCGTCATGTCTGCTATGCATTATTTTATTTACGTGTTGGTGGCGCACATGTAGAGATCAGGACAACCTGTATGAGTCTGCTCAAACTCAGGCTGTCAGTCGTGGCAGCTAGTGTTTTACCTGCTGAGCCATCTCACGGGCCCTAAGATAAATGACTTTTTCCTCCATACTTTGGGACTTTATTGCCTACAGGAAGAAACTGGACTATTGTAAGCAGGAAGGGAACACAGTCTAATAACTTACACAAGTAATGTTTCTCATTCTGTGTAACTGCCAGCGCAGTGTTGGACCATTATTTTATTACACCCTATTTTATTTTGACTTTTAAATAGGGAAATGCTCACTCGGAAGAGTCTCATCAGGATAACGAGCTGGATCAAGCATGGGTTGGCTCTATGGGAATGAATCCTGGAGAGGAGACTTGCACAGAACTCAGGATGAGATGTGCAGTGAGGGAGGGAGAGGAGGTGTGGGAGAGACTTTCTGGAATATAAAACCTACAGGCCTGCAGTTGTTGGAAAGCTGTGACCCATGGAGCCTAGCATGCACAAAGATGTGGGTTGGATCTCCAGCCGGAAAACCCAATATGATGGCACAAGCCTGTAATCCTAGAACTTGAGAGGTGGAGGCAGGAGGATCAGAAGTTCAAAGTCATCCTTTGCTACATAGTGCATTTGAGGCCATCTTGGGATATACAAGACTAGCTCAAAAAGGAGGAGGGGGTGTGCAAGTTGGCTAAAGGCACTTGCTGCTAAGCCTGTTCACCTCAGTATAGCAATCCGCAGGTCCCACATGGTGAAATGAAAGAACCAGCACCTGAAAGGTGCCCTCTGACCTCTACACTTAGGCCATGGCATGTGTATTTTCCCCCCTAAACAAATACAAATGAAATAAATATTCATTATTTAAAACTTCAAATACATGAAAAAGTTTTGGATAATCTAGATAGGATGCTGTTGGGTATCAGAGCTGCTAAATTCTATCCATTGGCACTCTCACACACCAGTAGCCATCTCTGTGTAGAAATACCAATTACATTTTTTTGCTTGTATAAAATCAGAGCTGGGAAATACTTAACTGCCTTCTCCCCCACCCCCACCAAAGTTTGAGAGTCTCTATGTCCTCAGGGTCATTGTGAAGTTCAATGAGGAAGTTGTCTGCAGATACAGGTAAATATAGGGAACTAAACTAAAAAAATTAGAGTGTCTAAGAGTTTTTTTTTTTAAAGATTTATTTATTTTATTTATGAGTACACTGTAGCTGTCTTCAGACACACCAGAAGAGGGCATCAAATCTCATTACAGATGGTTGTGAGCCACCATGTGGTTGCTGGGATTTGAACTCAGGACCTCTGGAAGAGCAGTCAGTGCTCTCAACCACTGAGCCATCTCTCCAGCCCCGAGTTTTTTGTTTTTTGTTTTTGTCAAACTCATAAAAATATACTAAGGAAAGCCAGGTATGGTAGCCCATGTCTGTGATCTCAATAATTGAGAGGCTGAGTCAGGAGTAGTGTTGCCAATTCAAGCCCTCCAGGTCGGCCTAGGCTACAGTGTGAGGCCTTACCTTAAAAAAATATAGGGTTTTTAAGATGAATTAAGCTGGAGAGACTGTTCAGCGGTTAAGAGCACTGACTGCTCTTCCAGAGGTCCTGAGTTCAGTTCCCAGCAACCACATGGTGGCTCACAACCATCTGTAATGGGATCCAATTACCTTTTCTGGTGTGTCTGAAGAAAACTATAGTGTGTGTATGTGCATGTGTGTGTGTGTGTGTGTGTGCGCGTGCACGCCTGTGTGAATCAGCATGGGGCTAGAGAGATGGCTTTGCAGGCTGTCTTTGAACTTCTTCCTCGGCCTTCTCAGTGCAGGCATGTCCTCAAGCCTATGTATTTTGGATTTATAGTGTGAACTAATGAGCCACACCATTTTTACCTAGTTGCCTGCCAGTTACCCTGATGCCACTATTAATTAATTAATTATTAATTATTAATTAATCTTCTAATCCTTTTTTATGTTTATCATATTCTATGCCATTCATAAAAATTAATCAGGCTGAGTATGGTAATAGTAATAATCACTGTACCCTTGGAGATTAAAGCAGAGAAATCAAGAGTTCAGGTTATTTTCAGCTACATAAGGAATTTGAGGTCAAGCCTGGGCTACAAAGACCTGATCTATTTTTTTTTTCTTCAGTATATCTTTAGTCCTGATTCTAAATTCCTAAGAGAAAGAACCATGGCCAGTAGCTAGGGTCTTGTGGAGCAAACATGAGAACTGGGTTAGTTACTTTTCTTGTTGCTGTAGCACGATACCTGACAGAGGCAAGGTGCGAGAGGAAAGGTTTGTTGGCTCTTGGTTTTTGAAGGATTTCAGTCTAGGACAACGGACTAAAGCTCACCATAGAGACAGACAGACCTACTCCTCCAGACAGGCCTCACCTCCTAAAGGTCTTCACAATAGTGTCCTAGGCTGGGGACAGATTTAAAACCCTAGCCTGAGAGCGACATTTTGGATTCCAGAATCAGGGCGCCATCATATGCCTGAGGAAGGGCAGTCAAATGCATCTTTAAGTAACTCCTCCCCAGAGTCATTAGTTCCTACTGACTGGTGTCAATAGAGTCTTTCCAAGCTCAGGAGCTGGCCGGGGGAAAGTCTTGGTGCACTGTGCCTTCTACGTTGTTTGAGACAGGGTCTCTTGTTTGTATTCCAGGCTCTCTGGCCCACGAGCTTCTGAGCATCCACCTGTCTCTGCCCCCATCTAGTTGTAGGAACACTGGGATTGCAGCTTGGTGCTAGTGCATCCAGTTTTCTGTGTGTTCTGAGGATTTCAGCTCAGGTCCATAGAGATGTACAGCAAGTGCTTTCCCCACTGAGCCATCTCTCTAGCCTCCTTTCAGATATTTTTTCCTTACTGTCAAATCACAGGACCTTTCTTTATCAGCAGATAACATGACATCAGCTAAAGAATCTAGGACAGGGGACTAGAGAGATGATGCAGCTTTTGAGATCACTTGTTCCATCATCATGAGGTCTGGAGTTCAGATCCTCGGACCTATGTTGCTTGCTAAATTGGTAGGCGTTCTCATCATCTGAAACAATATTTCTAAGGTGGGGGAAGACACGAGGATTGCTGGGGCCTCCTGGTCTCTAGCTAGCTGAGAAAGCACAAACCCCAGGTTCAGGGAGAGGCCCTGCCTCAAAGAATAGGCAGAAAATGATAGAGGAGGACACTGGATGCCATCTCCACCCTCTGTGCACAAGCACACCCACAACTCACATATGCACATACTCATATAGACCTGTCTATCTCTATCTATGTATCTATGTATCTATGTATCTATGTATCTATGTATGTATGTATATATGTATGTATGTATGTATCTATCTATCTATCTATCTATCTATCTATCTATCTATCTATCTATCTATCTATTCAAAGTTTTAAGGACCTAGGATGGCATTTTTGTGATGTTTTTCAAGTGGAAAAATAGTAGGATGGGGTTAAGGTGAGATACAGGAAGCTGGGCGGGAATGCAGGATGGGGAGGATAAGACTACTCAGCCTGCCCACTGTCCCTCGAGGTGGATAGGTGGAGGTTCCAGAGCATTTTCCCCGAGTAAGTCAGTCTTTACCTTGGCTTTCCTCTCCCTCTCCCTCTCCCTCTCCCTCTCCCTCTCCCTCTCCCTCTCCCTCTCCCTCTCCCTCTCCCTCTCCCTCTCCCTCTCCCTTTCTCTCTCTCCTTCCCTCCTCCCTTCCC